TTTCTTTCTTCTTTCTTTTTTTTTTTTTTTTTTGTCATTATAGAAAAAGTTTCAAATTACTTCATTAATGAGCCATCACATAACAACAACATATGGCTAAAGTCAAACAAATGAGAGAGAGAGATATTAGTAGTCGAAGGAGATATTAGTAGTCGAAGCTAATCGAAAAGAGTGAAACATTTTTGTATGTAACATTGTTGTGGATGATGGTGATGATGTGGTCCTGATGATAATGATGGTGATGATGATAATATAATGATTGGATGATAAAAGGTAGTAGTGATAATGGTGGTTAATAAATGGTAGTTATGGTTGGTGATTGTGATGATGTGTCCTGATGATGATGATGATGATTGGTGATAATAGATGATGATAATATAATAGGTTGGATGATAAAAAAGTAGTGGTAATGATGATTAATAAATGGTAGTTATGGTTGGTGATTGTGATGATGTGTCCTGATGATGATGATGATGATTGGTGATAATAGATGGTAATATAATGGCTGGTTGATAAAAAGTAATGGTAATGATGATTAATAAATGGTAGTTATGGTTGATGATTGTTAGATGTAGTAGGATGCAAATGGTGGAAAATTGTGGTATGATGGTAATAATGATGATATTTGGTTGATAATAGATGATGGTGATAGTGATGGTAATGGTGAGTGATGATTGATAGATGATAATTATATGATGATGGTTGGTTGTTAGATGTAAGATACTGATGATGGGGTAGATTGTGATGATGATGGTGGTTAATAGATCGTGTACATGTGAACCAGTATTACATTTTATTTATATTTTATTTTTTTTCAATAAATGTTGCCTGATAGATTCTAATCATGAACAGATTGATTCAATACGATATTCTTATTTATTTTTTAACAAATTTCATATTAATTCATTTTTAGTATTTAGTTTTTTTTTTCTTCTTATTAGAATTGTTAACATTTTCATTCTTGAAAAAGTAAAAATTTCTTTTTCTAAAATCATATAATACACATATTTTTATTGTTTTTTGAACTTTGATCTTTGCTATTTGTTTAAATTAAGTTTGAATTAAATTAATTTAATAAAAATTTACCATTACCATGAATCGATTAAAGAAAATATGTTTGTCAATTGATGCTATTTCGAAAATGATAGAATATTGAATGGATGTAAAAAAAAAAAAGAAAAAAATAATTTTAAAAAAATCTTCGAAATAAGATATAGTTGTTAATATATCATTGTCTCTTTCCTAATTAATTAATTTCATCCATAAATTATTATAGTATCATACAATTCTATCGTAACAGTAATACTTTCAATTACTACTAATCCTGTACTATTTATAGATCATACGGTATTTTCATTGTCAACGCATAAATCATTTTTTTTTTTTGATCATAACAATTTTCAAATGATACTATAATTTTTGCTAAAAAACTAAACTGATAATATGATTCAAAATTTTTCTATGGAATGAAATTATTTTTTTGAGAAATTGGCTCAATCAATTATTGCGTGTACATTTGATGAAATTTCCGATTGTATAAATTGCATCCGGAATTGCATTTATGATATCCGGATTTGTATGGCATACGGATTTGATGTCTTTCCATTTCTATCATTCTTCCGATTTCGTGTGCAATATTTTTTGTTATCTTAACTTTTTCCTCATTCGAAAATTTACTTTTTATTAAATAGAAATTCATCTTTTTCTCTCTCTCTCCCTC